ATGTGGAAATGATCCAAAGTGTACCTATGTCATGTGCCAGACTCGATGCCAGATGCACGCGATGCAATATTTTCGACAAGATCATTGCTGCCAAGACCGGCAACACGGTAAATCTAGGCACTGAAGCGCACAAAATACACTTGAGAGTAATGGTGTTCACATCGAACGCGAATAGAGCGTCAAATACGCGTCTATCGCATCTAGTTCGACGGTTGAATCTTTAGCTCGAGTTCAAATTTTTCAACTTGCGCGGAAGACGTTCGCGGCAAACGCGTCGCCCAATTCGCGTCATTCGCGACGCCCGGCGCGAATGATGCGTCTATTCGCGTCTTTGCATTGACTATGTATGTAATCTACTCGCACAAATAATTAAATTCGCGTTCGGTGTGAACACACCATTAGTAAACACTTGTTCATTAATAAACAATTAAAATATCTCCTTGCTATTGTTTCCACATCCATAATCATTAGGCTACTTTTGCCAGTGCTTTGCTGCAAGCTTCACGTGCAGGTATATATCCCGCCCCCCAGTAGCCTATATTTAATTTAATTCACATTTATTTGTATAGCATTTTTCACAATACATATCGTTTCAAAGCAGCTTTACAGAAAATGCATGTCTAAATTACAATTTAGAGTGATCTGTTATCAGAGGTGACAGTGTAATGCATTTCAATTAATTTTCATTCAGTTTCATCGTTAATTAATGCATTAAGTTAAAGCAGAAACAATGAGCTCATTGAAGTAAAGAATACATGTTGTTAAATGATTAGGAAACATAGAAAACTTTAGCATTGGTGCTTTTTTACATACTCAAAATATGAGTGTAAAAAAGTCCAACAAACTGAAAAAAAAATTAGGTAATGTTATATTGTTAAACCTGGTTACATAAAATTGGTATCGAAAAAAGTATCGTTCAGGAACCGGTATCGAAGTCAAGGTATCGGTATCGGTATCGGTACCGAACATTTTGTTACGATACCCAGCCCTAGTTCTGACATTGCAGTAAATCGCGCTGATTAAATCTAAAAATCGCTTATCATATCACGCAAAACCGTGCAAATTATACTTTGTTCTCAAATTGTTAATGTTAACAACGTCAGCATTGCGTGACTACATGTGATGTCCTTCCGATATCCTTGTTTTCGCATGTGTCCGGTTGCAGTTTCTTCTTCTGTAGCCGCTCCGAAGTCCGAACCAAGTCTTCTGCATGTTACAGCGGGTGAGTCTGTTGTCGCTGGTGATCGTCGTTTGAACCTTTCTGGATCCACCATCAAATTGATAAGTTTAATTATATCAAGTGCTGTGAGAAAAGGCTATAAATCTCCACCTCCAGCATCCTCACACTCACAGCCGACTAGCCGAGACTCTTCTTTATGTGTGCAGATGTGTGTGTGCAGATGTGTGTGTGCAGATGTGTGTGTGCAGATGTGTGTGTGCAGATGTGTGTGTGTGCAGATGTGTGTGTGCAGATGTGTTTGTGTGCAGATATGTGTGTGTGCAGATGTGTGTGTGCAGATGTGTGTGTGCAGATGTGTGTGTTTGCAGATGTGTGTGTGTGCAGATGTGTGTGTGCAGATGTGTGTGTGCAGATGTGTGTGTGCAGATGTGTGTGTGCAGATGTGTGTGTACAGATGTGTGTGTGTGCAGATGTGTGTGTGTGCAGATGTGTGTGTACAGATGTGTGTGTGCAGATGTGTGTGTGCAGATGTGTGTGTGCAGATGTGTGTGTGTGCAGATGTGTGTGTGTGCAGATGTGTGTGTGTGCAGATGTGTGTGTGCAGATGTGTGTGTGCAGATGTGTGTGTGCAGATGTGTGTGTGCAGATGTGTGTGTACAGATGTGTGTGTACAGATGTGTGTGTGCAGATGTGTGTGTGCAGATGTGTGTGTGCAGATGTGTGTGTGCAGATGTGTGTGTACAGATGTGTGTGTGCAGATGTGTGTGTGCAGATGTGTGTGTGTGTGTACAGATGTGACCTAATGACGCAAAGACATGCTCGAATCTCCCGGAGAAATCCACCAGTACCGCTGGAGTTAAAAACATTATTACAAGCTTACCGCTGTGAATCGAGCTACGGCAAGCAGAGAGTTTTGAACACTGGCTGGTTATGTATTTTCTCAAATATGTATTTTGGATAATTTTTTACCCCCAAAAAAAGCTATGGACTGCAGCTTTAAGTTTAAACAATGCAAGAATTACCAGATTTCATTTTAATCAGTTTTATGAAAATAACACAAAAAGGTACAAGAATACGATTACGTTTCGCTCTGTTTTGTGGAGAATACAACAAAACTTCTAATGATCGACAGTAAAAATGAATCTGAGATTAAAGCAACCGGTTCAGAAACCCAATTACGATACGAAACAGACAATTTTCCAGAATACTTGTGCGAAAGAAAGAAAGAAAGAAAGAAAGAAAGAAAGAAAGAAAGAAAGAAAGAAAGAAAGAAAGAAAGAAAGAAAGAAAGAAAGAAAGAAAGAAAGAAAGATAGATCATCTAATTTTCTCTGATCAGAAACAAGCATGGCTGCAAGTCACTGTAATAGATTTGGGAAGTTGCGAACAACAAATGTCAAATAAAGACATGATATGATGCACGACTGAAGGCTTTATCCCAGATCAGATCATGGGTTTCTGAACTGCTTTAATCTCAGATGCTTTTTTACTGTAGATCATCCGTAGTTTTGTCATATTCTCAACAAAACAGACCAAATTGTATCATTGTACCTTTCTGTGTTATTTTCCTAAAATTGATTCAAACCAAACCTGGTAATTCTTGCATTGTTCAAACTTAATGTTTATACCTATAGCTAACAGTTTCTTTTCAGAAACCTTTGGGAAAAAAACAGTTTCCATTATCACCTGTATTTATTGAGATAAAAGAGTAATATTTGGTCATATTCAAATGATTTGATCATATTATCAGAGCACCAATATTCTATCAGTGCAATTGACCAGCAGTGACCGGCTCTGATTTAGATAAACTGTACAAAAATAGGCACAAAAATCTTTATCATTTAACAAGATGAAATCCCTCTAGCATGAGAGGATTGAGTGTGTTCGTGGAGAACTGGCTCTGGAACACCAGTGATCTCCAGCAGAACTAAAGCTGCGTGAGGAAACTGAGCAACAGGTCCAGAAACACCGCAGATCACCAGATCCTCGCGTTCACAGAGAGCTCGGGATATAAATGTGTGTCGCAAACGGTTTGAAAGCCTCTTTTTCTCAGACACTGCGGACTGCGGGTGTGGTGACTGCATCAGCTCTCTCTCTCTCTCTCTCTCTCTCTCTCTCTCTCTCTCTCTCTCTCTCTCTCTCTCTCTCTCTCTCTCTCTCTCTCTCTCTCTCTCTCTCTCTCACACACACACACACACGCTTTCTTTCACAAGCGCACAGCACAGCTAAACAATAAACAGCATCTGAATGGCAATGCAACAAAAGCCCTTCTTTAACGCGTGAAGTTTAAAAGCATCTCGAGAACAGCTGCACTTTCACTTCGGTCTTCACACACACACAAACACCCAATACATCGCATCTCATCTTCACGCACGAGTCAATTAAATCCGGATTAAAGTCGTCTAATGCAAAACATCGACTTTGATTTTCCACGCACACACACACCTCTCGTTTCTCTCGCGCATCATCATCATCATCATCACTCGCTGTTTCCCTGAGCATCGCACTTATTACAATACAATCCAATACAATTCGATCGAACGTTCACAACGGAAGCATTCACGTCATAATTCGAATGATAAATCGTTCTGACCTCCCAGTCGATGGAGTCCCAGTCCTCGGTGAACATTCGGCGTCTGTGAGCTCGCGCCACTACGGACGATCCGATGCCATTGCGCTGGAAAAATCCTCGTTAAATCACTTCCACGCGGTGATATTCCCAACATGAGTCCCAGTGCAGATCGACGGAGTCATGAAGAAGCCGCGCGTAAAAGCGACGCGTCGCGATGCCATGAAGAATGAAGGGGGCGAACAAACAAGTGCCCTCACACACACACACACACTCACTAATTACTCATTTACTCAAACCACACACACAGCTCACTTAGTACAGGTTCGGCTCTGGTCAGGTTTAAACGTAAAAGCTTTCAGTCACCACTAAGCTGATGATGCATTTCACACGAGCAGGAAATCCAGCGATGTGCCTTTAAGGAAAACTTGTTGTATAAGGGCTTTCTGCGCTCCTTCCCCACAGTCGAATAAATCCTCGCGGGTTTCTATTGGTATTTCTAGCATAATTGGAAGCAATCCAAATGGGATACATCACGAATCCTTTAAGAATCAAATAAAACCCGACTGGCGACTGAAACTCATTTTTTGTTTTCAGAATTGATTTGAGTTGATCCAGAGGATCTTGTTTGATTCTTTACTCAGCTGCTCTGTTCCACATCCAGTGCTGCATAAAAGCAGGAATAAAACATGCACTTGAGGCGGCTCTGATGCTGCTTTACTTCTGGGTCAAATGATGACGCATCAGAGCTGCCTTTACTTGTACTTTCATAGTTGCAAGGTTTAGATTAATATTTTAACATTTAAAAACGTACGTGCAGTTGTCATGCATTTATGGTATACTGTGTAGAATTAAACAGTAAATTATTTTCTACACACGCTTCTTTGCAGTGTAAAGATGCCATTTTAGATCATTCTTGTTTGATTGTATTTGCTTCTTGATAGAAATAACAATCCAGCACACATTTCTTTAAGAATTTTTGACTAAAGTGTTATTTTGGATGTGCATTATTTGCTATGCAACATGCATTTCTATAAAGCTGCTTTGAAGCTACATTAGATTGAAGTATTGTTTGCACCTCGTGTCCTTCGCACTGTAAGGGTCACGTGCACCTATATCTATACCTCACACCATTTGCCCTTGCAAAAATGATATTTACACTTGTGTTTGGATGTTCGCCGTGTTTCATTGGCTCTGCACTCCCCCCCACACACACACACTCCTCCACTGACTCCGAGCACGAAACTCTTACCATGAGCACGGCGAGGTTGTTGTGGTGCGCGCAGTGGATGGTGGTCGTGTTGTGCGCGGAGCCGGTTATCTGACAGCCTTCCGCGCGCCAGCCACCGTGTCCATCAAGCAGGTCAAAATCCCAGTATGCGGCGGTGGGGTCTACACCCAACGAGAAGTGCCGGAGAGCGACGGTAACCGGCTGCACGGGGCTCCCGGGGCTACACCCATCTAGGAGAGCAACACATTGCGTCAAGTCTCAAGTCCTTAAGTGCTCCAGAGATGCATCCACAAAGCATATGAAAGCTGGCAATCACACACACACATGCACGTCTGAGGCGTTATATTCCACTCTGGAATGAACGTGCATTATTGTCTAATATTGATGCAATACAAATTAGATGAGTTCGAATAAGGTTATTTGCCTGCGCAATTAGTGTAATAATGCAACGCAACTGTTGCAACATCGTGCAAGCACGCGCATGTTTTCTCATAATTGCATGTGACGTTAATGTCTAAATATGACTAAATACTCCAGTGCAATGCCGTTTGTCATTTAAAACAACTAATGCATGCATACGTGTGGATATGCCGGGTTAAAAAAACGAATGCATGAAAAAAATGCAGCATTACCTAATTTGGTGAACGCAACTGGTGTCGAAACGCTTCTGCGCTTCCCATCGTCCGCGAGATTTGACGAATTCCCCGTGCATGGGAAGAGTTTTCCATTGCGGAAGACGATCAGCTGCAGCTTACAGGTGGAGTTCTCCTCAGACTGGGGGAAAGCCAGCGGGAAATGTATGGAAGCGATGGCCACCGTGTTCTGAAACGGGGAAAGGGTTATGACACATGTGCAGGAGATGCGCAGATCTGACAGTCTGAAGCGTTCCCGCTGACAGGAGGAGAGTGCTGGAGGAAACAGGGCTTATCCTCCTCCTTTCTCTCTGCCTTTCTGTGGTCTGCCGCAGAGGGGAATGATCCTGACCAGCACAACATCAGCACTGACAGCTTAAAGCAGCAGGCTGATAAAACATCATCATCATCATCATCATCCTCTTTATGTGTTAATAGCAGTGTCGATGTCTAATGCAGATCCTAAAGGGGGAAGCACGTCATTTTGGCCTTAAAAACACATTTAAGATTGAGGCGATAAGCAGATGTTGATGCAGAGAGTGTGTTTTTGCTAAGACAGAAGATGTGCCAAATCCAAACACACTTTTAAAATGATTTAGCTGGGGTTCGACTTTATTTTTCCCGACACTGAACCAGAGAAAAATCATTTACATACTCAACTTTGCTTTATAGAGGAATTCAAGTGTTTAAAGTAAAACATGAATGCAATAACACATGTAACACTTGTAGTAAATAACATTATAATTGGTTAAATAGAAAATTATTATTAATATAAAAATAATAAAATAAATGTTGTATACATATACACAGATACTGTGTTCTGGAAACGTTATTTTATGGTTGCAAAAAAAAATCTCTGTCTCTCTCTCTCTCTCTCTCTCTCACACACACACTGTCTCTCTCTCTCACACACACACACACACACTCTGTCTCTCTCTCTCTCTCTCACACACACACACACTCTCTCTCCATCTCTCTCTCTCTCTCACACACACACACACTCTCTCTCTCACACACACACACACACACTCTGTCTCTCTCTCTCTCTCTCACACACACACACACTCTCTCTCTCTCTCTCTCTCTCTCTCTCTCTCTCTCTGAGCGGATGTTGTGAGTGAGTGGGCGGAGTTAGCGCGCGACGCGCGTGAGTGGAAGAGAACGCTGTTGAATGAGTGAGTTTTTCTATCTTTTTCTGTCTTTTTTGCGGCTTGTTTGTGTAAATCTTTTATTTGACAAGAATATTGTTGAGTAAGAGACGCTGGCCGATATGGCAGCGTCTCAAAGTTTGGATAATTTGACGCGGAAACATGGCATTAAAGTTATCCCCGCGGAGCGTTGTTCTGTTGAGGATTGCACTATTGCAGTCGCTGAAGTAGTTGGATACTCTAGTATTTTGTCTGCAGCCAGAATGAATAGTGCTATAGTGATTTTTTTGAGTAGTGTAGAGAAAGTCAATGACGTTGTAGTGAAAGGGATTGTTGTCAACAGTGCGTTTACCCCAGTAATGCCTTTGGTCCAGCCGGCAAAAAGGATTACACTGTCTAATGTACCACCATTTATCAGAGATGACGTGATTGAAAGGGAATTAATGAGACATGGTAAAATTGTGTCTAAAATCAGGAAGATTTCGTTAGGTTGCAAGCTACCTCAGCTGAAACATGTTGTTTCATTTAGAAGACAGACACACATGATTCTAAAAAATGAAAATGAAGAGCTAAGTTTGGCCATGAAATTTAAGGTGGATAACTATGAGTATGTGATTTATGCAACGTCAGAAAGTATGAAGTGCTTTGGTTGTGGACAGGAGGGACATATAATTCGTGCTTGTCCTGAGAAGGATGATTCGGTAGTGCCTCTGAACGAGAATAGGAAAAAGGAGCAGACAAATGTAGGAAGAAGTGAAGAGCAGAGACAGCCAGAACCCGAAGGATCAAGGAGTAACACGGAGAGGGGAGATGGAAGTAATAATGGAGAAATGGACAAGGAAAAGTTGGAGGATGTTGTGAATGATGCTAGAAAAGCAAGCAGTATCATGAAAGAGTGTGAGGTAACTGTTTCTAATTTAGTTGCAATAGAAGGTGAGGAAGACATGGAAGTGATAGAGGATGAAAGTGTTTTTAAAACACCTGCAATAAAACGGAAATTGAAGAAAAAAGGCAATGGGAAGAGAGTTAGGAAAGAAACGGGAGATGAAAATTCAGGAAAAGATGTTGAAAATTCTGGGATTCAGATGGAATCAGATACGAGCAATATTGACGAGCCTCAGTCTGCCTCAGAAAGTGGAGATGATTCTTCAGGGTCTGCGAGTTCAGTCTCTCAAAAAAGATCTGCTAGAAGTGACTATACACTTGAGAAAATTAGAATATTCCTTCAAACAACTAAAGGAATGAAAGGAGTGAGAGTGGAAGATTATTTCCCAGATCGAGAGCTGTTTATTAATTCAGCTAGAATGTCAATGAAAGAGAAGGGTGCAAATAATTTAACCGATCAAGAAATTTACAGATTGAAAAAGATTGTGCAAAAGCTGAAATTGAATATATTGAGTGATGAATTTGAAGCAGAATGATTTTTTTATTCTTCTTGTGTTGTTTTTTTGGTTGTTTTGCCCTTTTTTGGTTTACATTCATTCACTTATGAGTACGCTAAGACTGGGCACACTCAATATAAATGGTGCACGAGAAAGTGGGAAGAGAACAAAGCTTTATGAATTAATAAGACAAAAGAAATATGATGTGATGTTGGTTCAAGAAACCCATAGTGATGCTAAAAATGAGAGTGACTGGAAAATGGAATGGGATGGAGAAGTTATTTTAAGTCATAAAAGTTCATCTAGTGGTGGTGTAGCTGTTCTTTTTCAAAAGCACATAAAACCTTTATCATATGAGGTTGAACACATTGTTGAAGGGCGACTATTGAAAGTCAGAGCAAAATTTGAAAAGTTTGTTTTAGTTTTTGTAAACATTTATGCTCCTGTTTGTGGTCCTGAGAGGGTTTATTTTATAAAAAAAGTGAATGATGCTCTTTCTAGCTTTGAACAAGAAGAGTATATGTTTATGGGAGGAGACTTTAATTGTACAGAAGATCATAAAGTAGATAGGAACCATAAAGAGCCTCATATTGCATCCCAGCATGAAATTGTGAAACTCATTGTTGAAAATGATCTGTATGATATTTGGAAAGTCTTGCATAAGAATGAAAGACAATATACATGGGCACAAGCAAGAGAGAATTTTATTACTTTGGCTAGACTGGATAGATTTTATTGTTTTAAACATCATTTCAATGTTATAAAGAAATGTGTGATTTTACCTGTAAGTTTTTCTGATCACTGTTTAGTAGAATGTAGTATTTATATAGCAAATATAAAACCCAAGAGTGCTTATTGGCACTTTAATGTCTTATTGTTACAAGATAAGGCTTTTATTGAGACGTTTACATATTTTTGGAAACAGTTTGGGTTGAAGAAGCATGAATATAGATCTTTACGACAGTGGTGGGATTATGGTAAAGTGGAAATACAGCAACTGTGCCGGCAGTACACACTCAATGTTTCTAGGGAAATTTCCCGGTCAATGAGAAACCTAGAGATCGAAATTGTGGAACTGCAAAACTCAGCAGCGTCCACAGGAAATCGAGGGCATACTGAGCTCCTCAAATCCAAAAAGAAGATTTTAGATGAGCTGTTAGGCGTTAAAGCACAGGGTGCGTTGGTCCGCTCTCGATTTCAGAGTATTGAGCAGATGGATGGCCCGACTAAGTTCTTCTTTGGTCTAGAAAAAAAGAATGGTCAAAGTCGTTTTATTCACTCGCTATACTCAACAACTGGAATAGACATAACAGAGCCTAAGGAAATTAGAAAAAGGGCGGTGTCTTTTTATTCAGAATTGTATAGGAGTGAGAGCCCAGAAGTGGATGAGCCAGTCAATTCGTTTCATACAGGGTTGCCGAAAGTGCCAAATGAAGTTAATGTTGAACTTCAGAAGCCCATTTCCACAGGAGAATTGCAGATTGCACTGCAGAGCATGGAATGTGGCAGGGCACCTGGAATGGATGGTCTCCCCATCGACTTTTATAAGATGTTTTGGTCAGTAATGGGGGATGATTTGCTTGCAGTCCTCAATGAGAGTCTGGCTGATGGCTTGCTACCGTTGAGCTGCAGAAGGGCAGTCATAACTCTGCTGCCAAAGAAGGGAGATTTAAAAGATATAAAGAATTGGCGACCCGTTTCACTTCTGTGCACTGATTTAAAAATTTTATCTAAGGTTTTGGCAATAAGACTGAGGGAGGTAGTTGGTAGGGTCATTCATCATGATCAAACATACTGTGTGCCTAATAGGTCCATCTTTGATAACATATTTTTAATTCGAGATATTTTGGAAGTCTCTAGGTTATTGAGTTTAAACACTGGTCTGATTTCAATAGATCAGGAAAAGGCGTTTGATCGGGTTGAGCACGGCTATCTCTGGCGTACACTGGAGGAGTTTGGGTTCAGCTCAGGTTTTATTGCTATGATCAGGGTTTTATACCAGGACATTGAGAGTGTGCTGAAAATAAATGGAGGTTTGTGTGCACCTTTTAAAGTAAAAAGAGGGATCAGACAGGGATGTGCATTATCAGGAATGCTTTATGCCTTGGCTATTGAACCTTTGCTGGTAAAAATTAGAAATAGTATTGAAGGATGGTCTATACCACACTCAGGTGAAAAAGTGAAGCTATCAGCTTATGCTGATGACATTATTGTTATGATTAATGATCAAAATGACATAATGGTATTAAAAGAAATTATTGATGAATTTGGCATTATTTCTTCAGCCAAAGTAAATTGGTCAAAAAGTGAGGCATTGATGTGTGGTGAGTGGGAGGGAGATCCTCCTAAATTACCAGGAGGCCTGTCCTGGAAAAGTGATGGCATAAGATATCTGGGAGTCTATCTTGGGAATGAATCTGTATTACAAAAAAATTGGGAAGGTATTTTAGAAAAAGTAAAAGGAACATTTGAAAAATGGAAGTGGCTTTTGCCGAAGATGTCATTCAGGGGGAGAGTTATAGTTATTAATAATTTGGTTGCATCAATGTTATGGCACCGTTTGACTTGTATTGATCCTCCCGTTGGGCTTTTGGCTAAATTACAAGCCATTATAGTAGACTTTTTCTGGAATGGCTTTCACTGGATAGCCCAGAGCGTAC